ACGGGTCCGCCTTTGGACACACAACCCGCCAGCTGTTCCAACAACACGGCGGAGGGTCGAGTGGCGGCAAATGTCTCGTTTCCCCTGTTTGTTGGGGGCATTAAAATATGTTCAGTAAGAAAATATTAGGCACTGGTTCGCATCATTGTACACAGTATATGTTTATTTATTTTGTGTAAAATAATTTTAACAGATTGAGATTAAAAATAGTGTTTCTGATGGTTTTAATATTTTTGGTGATAATAGTGAGTTTCTGTCAGTCTGTGTTTAGCGTCGTCTTCAGGAACTGAAGCCAATTGAGCAAAGGCAAGGCGGCTAGTACTATATTATATTATATATCTGGATAAGTGGGCAATCACTTGACCATAAAATGTATTGTTTTCCGTCACTACAGTCATCCCTCTCCTATTGCGGTAGTTGCGTTCCAAAACCCGCAGCAAAATTAGAAAAAAAAAAAAAAATTGCAAACTAGAGGCACCATAGTTATTATATTAATTACATATATATTTACCCTTTACAATTACACACAATTATATGACAGTAGAGTTGTATCATGATGCTACGATGCAATCAGCGAAAGGAACAGAAGAGCATGCTCAATTAGCCAATAGTACACCCAGCACGCACTGCATTAGCCAACAGTATGCTGTGTACGAGCACGCACTGCATTAGCCAATAGTATGCTGTGTACGATCTCGTCTAGGTAAACAAAGCTACCAGCGATCGTTCGCTAATTGCGCTTATCTCTATTTCAAAACAAGAATCCACATTTTTAAAGCCAAAACTTTCGTATGTATAATTATTTTGTTTATATTATATATGTTAGTTTATATTTTGATATATTTCGCGAAAATTTCACGAGATCGGATTAAAAGAAAAATCTGCGATGTACTGAGGGAGCGGAAGGAGAACTGCGATATAGAGAGGGAACACTGTATATGTTGTTACATACACAACAACAATTTGCAAATACGACTTGATTGTATTATCTGCGGAACCGTTGTCTGTATGGTCACTGTTTTTAATCCTATGGTTAATCGCACTTATTGTGTTTCCACACTGAAGTTTAACACCCACTCATAATGGATTGAAAGGATCAATATTCATATTTGGACATGCCTCTGTGGTGGGACCATTAGGGGGGCTTTGATGAAGGGTATTGTGGGTAAAAAAAAAAAAAAAAAATCGATTCCATGTTGATTCAATTTCACAGCAGGAGGGGGTGGACGGGTCCTGCATATATGGTGTAAACAGGGGTCAAAAGCGCCGAGCTGGACAGGATGTCCCACTTACACGTTCAGCTGCACCGCTTCTGTCTGCTTTCGACCCAGAGTTGCTCTGCCCACCGAGACCTGCAGCTCAGACAGCGAGATGCCGGGCTGGTACATGTGACAGAAATGCTGCGCCTGAGGAAACATGAAAAGGACAACATGTTTTAGACTAGACACTATAGACCAGACATGGGCAAACTAAGGCCCGGGGGCCAGATGCAGCCCGTTCGGCCTTTTAATCCGGTCCGCCAAACTTTTCCAAATTATATAATTTGCTTATATTATTATTATTCATCGTTTCCCTGCAATACCCATGTTTCCCCCATAGATGGCGTAAAAATGATAGAAGCATTTTAGCATTTATGCATGGACTTGCATGACTGCAATTTTAAGGTCAATTGTGGCCCACGAGTCAGAGAATTTGCCCACACTTGCTATAGCTAGTTTTAAGAAAGAAAAAAAAAAGACTTTGACTCAAGTAACAAAGTTTGATACCTTCTCTTTGGAGATGTTCAGTTTGCTTCCGATGATCTCAGCCATCTGCAGTCGGCTTTCGGGGCGAGACAACATGGCTGTGAAGCAGTCAAGAGCCTGAAACGCACCCGTAAAAAGACGTTAAAACAGGGAACACTTACACCTTGTCGCTTTATTTAGAAGTAAACCATTACTTAACTTAATATTGATATACAACAACAATTTTTTTTTTTTACATTTACCTCTTGGAAGACTTGCTGAGCAGTGGCGAAAGAGATGCTGTTGAAGTTGACGCTTATTCGCTCGCACCATTTCAGTAGGTCCCTGAAATTATGCATATTTTTTTGTCATTATCTCAGCATGGCTAACTTTGTGGGTATACTACATAAGAAAAATTTCACAGTACATCACTAAACAAAAAAATGTCATAAAGATATTTGGACTGAAACATCATGACTCAGTTGTTTCAGTGTGAAATCCGAACCTGTTTAATTGAACACAACACTAATTTACTGGCAGGAATTAAAGAAAGACAAATATTGATCCTCAACAGCTCTACGGCTCTCTCTTTTGTAGTTTTATAGCCATCTGCTGCCACCTAGTGGGAGAGAATTTAATTGTTCTGGCTGTTACTGTTGCATTGAAGAATGAAGAAAAAAAAACGTTTTCAGCACAAATAAGTAAAACTGGATAATTTTTTCACAGCTCACCTAAACATCTTTCAAGACACAGTCGCAAAAAAAGTGGGGTTTTTTTGTTGTTTTTTTTTACTGTTCGACTGAGAAAAACAAAGCATGGGTTTGAGATTACAAGGAAAAGTTTGGTATCCTTGAGATTCCCACCTGCCACGCGGAAGGCAATTCCCAGCCAATGCAACTTCTGTTTTAGCGGTACCATAGTTTAGCGGTTAGCTTGTCTGCCTTGAAGGCGATAGTCCTGGATTTGGACCACATAACTGGCACCTCTGGGGCAGGCGGGTGCAGCAGATATGCTGTTAATGTAAGAATTTATGTAAGAATTAAGCGTGGGATCGATAAAGTTTAAATTATTATTATTATGAAGGTTACCAGTTTAACTTAACTTAAAGTTAGGCTATAAACTATAAAAAAAAGGTTTGTATGTTTTTAATTGGTATATTTATAGTTAGCTAGCATTTGTTGTTACTTACGTTCTCAAAGTTGTATTATTAATTATTTTTGTCTTTTTAGCGTGTTTGACAGCAATCCCTTCTTTTCGTACAGCTATACATCCCTCGAAATTTGAAACTCAACTTTTGAAAACTATTGGGCACACAAACAACTAGATTCAGGTTGATCGATGCCAAAGTTGTATTTATCTTCTTTAGCTTCATACCGTCATGACCAAAAAAAAAGCACATTGAAGCACTTTATTAAATTATGTCAATTTAATTGATCCACGTAAGCCGAGTACAAAATTCTAAAAGGCATAAGGACGCCCGGGTGGAGCGATGTCTCACTGGGCGTAACGGGAATTAATGCGTTTCCGAAATAAAAACGGCTGGTGACATGGAGAATCTTCCATTCCAAAAGGACAGACTAATCAATACGTCATCGAGCGCTGCAGCAGCTAGTGGAAAGCTAATTAATGTGGGCTGGTCGTTTTTGACTAGAGGTGGGGAGAAAGAGGTCCGACGGATGCAAGACCAACACTCCAGTACCAGTAGCTTTCTATTTTGGTCATACACACAGACATAGAACATATTAGTTACGGTAAAGGATCTGACCTCAGTGACAGGGCTCTTCCCTCCAGTGGTACGCTTCTGTTTTCACACTTGGGCTGCTGGGAGTCTTCCATCGGTGTCAGTGTTTGGAGACCGCTTGCCTCCAACTCGGCATGATTTTCCCCAGTCAGCTGACAGTAGATATCCAGGAGACGCTCTGCTACCACCGTTAGCCCAGGGTACTTGCCGGTCATCACCTACAGACAAAGAAACGGGGCTGTTTAGAGGTGTTTCTATCTTGGTAGAAAGGTTACATCCCCTAAGGGGTGGAACAGCCAAAACAGTGACCCTAAAGTGATTAGACAGATCATTAGTTGCAGGAAATTGATCAAAAATCTCAAAGAGTACTTGCTTTCTTCAGCTCTTCTCGCATCATGTTGCCCATCTGCAGCTTGGTCCAGTATTTGTCCAGCAACGCTGCATGAGAGTTCTGCGGCTTGTGCCAGCTCCCACCGCTATAATAGGTCCTGGAGTTCACAAACAACAGTTCTTGTTACTTTTTTCCCCCCTCAAACGCATTTGAAATATGAACCTAGTTCTTAGCCGAGATCCAGAAATCGAATCTAACCCAAGACGTATATGTGACTTTGTATCTACAAGTTAGTGTTGTTCTTTTTTTTGATAAAATATGTTTAGGAATCAAATTAAATTGTTCACTGGTTTATTTTTATTATTCAAACACATGCTTTAATATAATTGTTTTTCTACCTCTCAAATATTCCTTCAAACTAGGGATGGCTCGTTCCAATACTCAGGATTAGTATCAGTCCGATATTGGTCAACGTTTCAGGATCGAACATCCAAAAAAAACAACTGTAGCCCGCCCCATACGATAGCTGAGCCCAACTTAACTTTGCATGAAATGCTGTAAACAGGGACACTATTGTCTCCGCAATAGAAGCCTGCATGCTGTAGGGTAAAATAAGATATCGGACTGATATCGGTATCGGACATGAAAAAGTTATATCGAGCCATTCCCGCTTCAAATTTAAGCCCTCCACCACACTTGAACCCCCAAATCCAATTATTTAATTTTGAGCATTGCATTTAATTTATTTCAATTCTTACCTTCTTGTTGCGAAAAACTGAAATCCAGGCGCAACCTCGATACAATCCTCCCTTCCTGGAATCATCAGCTTTTTGTTTTCCATTAAAGGCAACAGCACAGAGATCTGAAACCAAACCCGTATTGTAGTTTTTAAATGACGCGATATTAGATCAGAAATTTCAAAAGGGCTTCATTTGAAATTTAGAACTTTTACAACTCACCACGTCCAGCGGTGCGTGGTCAATGTCCTCCAGAAGAATCCACTGGCCCTTGGACACAGCTTGTGTCAGCGTTCCCGGCTGCCACACGAACTTCCCCGGAATGTCGGTGCAACGGTACATCCCCAGCAGCATCTGTGACACAAACGCGAAAGATGTTTATTAACGTTTTCTAACTTGTAATTTTTTGCATTTCAGTGACACAATATGGGGAAAAAATATCAAAATATGACAAAGACAGGACATTATAGATTGAAATATTACTACTATTACTATGAAAATGTTCATGATATAATACATAAAGTTAATTGTGTGAATCAAAGTATAATTTTTCAATGCAAAACTAAACTAAAACGAAACTAAAAAAAAAATTAAAATCTGCTATGCAAACCATTTGTTACAAGTAGCCAGCAGAGTGCGCCCAAAAAAAAGTCTTTCTCACCTTGCTGTCAGTCTGATCTCCCAGTTGGACTTTGAGAATCTCCGCAGTTTTCATATGCCCAGTAACGGCGGCGATGAACTCGACTAAAGCAGTTTTACCGCACCCGATAGGCCCCTCGAGAAGGACGGGCTTCTGGGACGCTACAGCTAGTGCCAGTCTCCGCACATTGCGACAGGTCGAATCCACCAGCACGAGATCCTTCGGGTTCTCCTGAGGACAGGATAGAGGACTCAGAATATTTTTTTTTTCCTTATTCACAGCATTAACCTGTTGACCTGGCATACACACCTGTTCGACTTGTCTGGGGGCTACCCTGGGAAGCACAACCCCACAGACTGCTACAACGTTCTGCGAAAGGTCCTCCGATACCACGTGACCTCTGGTGAACTTATTTGCTTTCTCCTGGCGCCACATCACCGAGCACTGGTTGGCCAGAACCAGCGCTTTCTCTGCCTCCATGTGTTGAGTTTCTTCCAATGCACTAAACCAGAATTACACAGTACAATTTGCTGAGTCATTACCACTGCTCTTTTATTTAATGTAATCATATTTTAGAAATCGTGTTTATTCTAACACAGGCATGGGCAAACTAAGACCCGGGGTCCGGATGCGGCCCGTTCAGCTTCCTATTCCGGCCCGTCAAACTTTTCTAAATTATAGAATTTATTTATATTATCATTATACTTCTGCCATTTCACTGCAATTCCCATGTTTCCCCAATAGATGGCGTAGGAAATGCTAAAAACATTTTAGCACTTTAGCCTTCATGCATGACTTTTACATGCATTTTAGCACTTTAGCCTCCATGCATGACTTTTACATGTCATTTATCTTAGTTCACATGAACGCTCCGTCTATCTGCTCCTGTCCCATTTGAGGACAAATTGTGGCCCACGAGTCAAAAAGTTTGCCCATGTCTGATCTAAGGTGATAGAAATGGAGACACATACTTGATTTTCATGTGAAGAATTTCGTCATTCGTCAGCACCTTCCTCAGAAAAATTGTTTTCTGATTGTCCGTCATATGCGAAACCAGTGCTAAACAATGGGCAGTGTACCTGTTAAAGACAATGGAAATGCTTGTAAAAAGTGCACAACATCAAGACTATTGCTGGAAAGCCTTAGGACACATATGTCAAACTCAGGCCTGGGGGCTAAACAATGGTGTAAAGCCGGTACTTACCCTCGCACCATGAGGTCGCTGGTGAGCAGCTGCGACACACAGGGACTCCAATCCCAGAGCATGCGATACTTGGCGCAATCGCTCTGCAGGAAACGAAGTGTGGCACCCATGAGGTCACGCATTTTCATTCGTCTGGGGCCATACTGAACGGAGGCCGACTCTTCGCTGGTGAAAAAGAGCCTCTGAAAAACTGGAGGGGCGCTGATGAAATACTTAGCAGCAAATCTGAGAATGAAGAGAGTGAAATAAGTGGGTTGGTCAGTCATAAGTCATACTCAAATTGCTGGAATATGATGAAGTTACGTTCTAGAAAACTCCATACTGTACGCATGTAAGTCTATGGAAATACTTTCCACTAATGGGTACTGCATTTCTATATTTTCTTAGGCAACTATCGAAACATAAATACTAGAAATACCAAGGTGTTGGTGGTGACAGAGGCTCCACTTACGCATGTGCAACAGGACTGATGCTGAGGAGTTTACTGAGAGCTACACACAGGCGCTCGTGGAGGTCGTGGTTGATTCGGCCACCTGCTCGAACTCTGTCCACGTTCCGCTCCAGGAGGTCCAGGATCAGAGGCCGCAGGTGACGTGCAATGAGTAAAGTGTAATCCTTCTCGAGGAGCAGGTGAGCAAGGCAGTCGAGAATACATTGTCTGTCCTGCTGGCTCCATATCTGAGAAGACACACAAAAATTAAAAATAAAATAAAAATAGATGAATGTCAACAGAGGTAAGACTCAAGGTTAGATATAATAATGTAAAATAATATATAAAATATTATATATAAAATATACCATCACCACTGACATCTGAGAGGGATGCTGCTCAGGTCACGTTATAGGGCATTTCTGAAAACGAACTGTGAACTTCTATTTTTGGACTCGTACAACAAAGATAAAACATATCTTACCTGTTTGGAAAGATATTGACCAAGCTCGTTGCGACTTCTGTCAACATGCCTGGATATTGTGGATAGTGACGAGAGACTTAATTCTAAATTTTCCATTCTTTCTCCTGTCGCATGTGAACGATACGTCTACAGCGGAAACACTGTTTTTACGGAGAAATGACAGTAAACGGCGAGTTTCATTGCGCGTCTGTGTATCATAACACACACTCAAAACACGTTCCCTTTACTGCTGATAAAATTCTGTCCACATGTGAGTGTAATACGATTCTTTCCGGGTCGCCTTGGACACACGACTCCCTTTGCATCCCTCCCTTTCCGCTCAGTCACGGACGCGTGGTGATGACGAAGGCACTGGACTGCGCCTGCTCACTGCCGCTCTGTCTCTGCGAGGAGACCAACTTTCTGCTGCACAACCGCGGCGTTTTCTGATTTTAGCGCTCTGATGTGACTAACGGACGCGTGAAAGTTTAAGCGTATTCAGAGTGAAACGGTTCTTCTTTGGGTTTTGTGCCCAAGTTTGAGGATTATTTCTGGAAACCAAAGGAGCTACAAGAATACACCCAGGGTAGTGACAGACCGCGGGAAAATGTCGTTACTTCCTGTACAGTGAAGTCTTGGCGCGACAGCACGGTAGTAAACAAAAAGAAAAAGTGGGGAGAACAGCTAACATCAACACGTAAGACAAATTTTCGGATTGTTCATATCGTTGTATCATTTTCTGCAGCCGCATGTATAGCACTGCTTATCTTTTGACTGATAAAGGTACCTCGAAATGCTTCTTTTAGGTATTTCATCGTGCATTTTCGTGCTTTAAAAACGCCGATTTAGTTTGAATGGGCATTGTTTCCACATGTTACACTACTCGAGGTTCCCGTGTTAGGTGCCCTAACTCTCACTTGATGTGCAAATTACAGCAGATGTTTAAAAAATCGTGTGAATCACTTTCTACAGTGATGCTAATGTTGGCGAAATTAAAATGTGTGAAGTAGCAGCACGCAAGTCACAGTGAAGTGAGCTAACCAAATTTAAAGTCGAACTTTAGGGTTTATTTAACCTAGAAAATGCGATGTGTCTTTTGTCAATATTGAACAAAAGAGATTTAGTTTGAGATTTCGTTTTCTGATTTAATACTGGAAACATTACAATTATCAATGTGTACCCGAGTAGGAGTACATGGGTATTGTTTCTTGTATGTGACTATATTTCAGTGTATAAAGCAACAGGGAACAGCAATGAGGGTGAGGGGGAGCAAGGGAATTACAAAAAGATTACTTGTTAAAATTTGAAAAATGACTCCAATAAATGTTATAAAAAAATAAATGTTGTGGAATCTGAATTACAGGTGGTTCTTTTGGAGCTGATCCCTTGAGGTGTTGAGTGAAAATGGAAATCCCTGACAACAGCGGCGCCTGTGCTCGTAAGTATATGTTAAATTCAAAGTGATTGTATTTTTTTTTTTTTTACAATAAACTTTTATTTTGAAAGAACAATATGTAAAGTGTAGCATCGAAGAAAACACGGTGAAAATTGTGTACTACATGTGGAAATTACTGTTGTTTAATGGATATATTGCCCACAGTCTCAGTACCTGGTGTAAATGAAAACTCTGTGGACATCTATGAAGACTTGGACGGTGGTTTACCCAGTAATGCAGGTTTGTGGCATTTAATGAAATTTTTTCTATGTTTTGTTTAGTTTTTTTTTCAATTGTAAAAAAAAAAAAAAAGTCTCATTTTTTGTTTAATAAACTTTTTTCTTAGTTTGTTTTGCTTCAATCGTAAAAAAAAATTGTCTCATTTTATTTTTTTTTTCAACAGATAAGTCACCCTCCAGTACTGCTCAAGTGAAGGAGTCAATGGACCTGTATGAAGAGTTTGTTACAGAAGAACAGCAAAGCAAGGAGAAATCGTACACAGAGGTACGTTGACGTGTCGTGACCATGATTTCATAGCTGTGATCCCTGTGTTTTTACGAAAACAAATTTTCTTCGATCCTGGTTAGATCGATTTAATCCTACTGAAATCTGTTGGGTTTAAAAGTGGGAATCACTTTGATTCCATTCAATTCATATATGGATTTGTGCAAAAATGTTTCTAAAATCTCTATATGACTGAAATCTGTTGTCATGTAATACAATATTTTTATATGATTGCAGCTGATGTCCAGATTTCAAGCGGCACAAAACCAAATCAAAGAGCTGCACAAGAGATTGGAACAGATGGAAACACAGGTTTGTTTTTCATATTTCAGAATTATTTTTTTCATACAGTAACCTTTCGTACCCCCCCTCGTATTAGTTGTCATACTGACCTTTACTATTTAATTTTCTTTTTTTTTACACAGAACACGGGATTAAACACTGAGAACTTTCGTTTGAAAAAGAACATCTCTGCGCTCCTAAAGACAGCAAGACAGGAAGTGATACGTAAAGATGCCGAGATTCAGAGGCTGAATCAAATGTAAGTTGTTGCGTACACTTTCACAGAATTGTACTGTAAATACATGTTTTTTTTTTGGTAACATATTAAATTGTATTTTGAAATTTGCTTTCATCAGGTCAGAGAAGGGTCACCATTATTATAATAACCATCGGGAGAAAACGTCTTTCAACCTCAACTCGAAGAGCATTTCCAGCAATAGGCCGCAACCACTTCCCCTACCTCCACCAAGTTCATCAAGTGGCCCAGTTCCACCCTCTACTCCTTGTCCTCATCCTCCACCACCTCTTCCTCCTCTACCACCACAGTCCAATTCTTGTCCCCCACCACTGCCTCCACATCCACCGACTCAGAATCAGCGTCTGTTGTCAAGAACAGAAAGCTGTAGTTTAAATAAACAAGCGTCGTCAACTGAGGCACAAGAATCGAAACAGGCGTCTCACGGTCATTCAAGAAGTTCTTCCCGAGGAAGCTGTGAAATGCCAAGTAAACACGCCGGACATAAGTCCAGCAGCGGTTCCTCGAGCTCGCGGAATGAATCAGAAAAACACAAGTCCAGACACAGAGAGGATAAATATTCAAGTTTCAGGTTATCTGAGCATACGGATAGGCGACCTCGAACCACTTCGCATCCCGACAAGGACTCTCACACCGAGACAAACAGGTCTCATAAAAAAGACAAATATTCAGGACAAAAGAACGAGGCCGTTTCTGCTAAAAACAAGAGCTACGTAAATGCCGACGGTCATCACAGGTCAGACAGGAGTAAAAGCCCTCCGTCGGAGCGTTCACGCTCTCCATCTTCTTCTGGAAATATTAAAAGTTCTACTCAAGACAAGACAAATCCAAAGCCTAAATTTGAGCCAACAGACTCTGAACAAGGCGCGGCTCCGAGATCTAAAGATCACCACAGCCGAGACCCTAGGAGAAACTCTAGTCACGATGGGCATCATACAAGTTCAGACTCCAAGAAACCAAAAAAAAGTGCTTCGCCACAACGCATAGAACGTTCCGCGAGCTCTCATAAGGATAAAGGAGAGCGACAAAAGAGGGAGGAAAAGAGACACGAGGACAAAATAAGAAGGAAGCATAAAATAAGCACACCGAACAAGAATAAGAAAGATAAAAGGAGATCGAAAGAGTCCTCGAAAGGAAAACCGAATCACAACACTAAAGAAACCCAGGAAACGAAACAAAAAGCATCGTCTAAAGAACCGCACGGCACAGAGGGGAGCCGTGTGGATGAAAACAGTCCAAACAGGAAACTGTGTTTCATGGAAACATTGAACTTAACAATTTCACCAATCAAAAAGTCAGCACTGTCAACCGTTCCTGACCAGAACCACGACCAGGAGGAGGACCTTCAAAAACGCTGTCAACCGTTCCTGACCAGGACCACGACCAGGACCACGACCAGGAGGAGGACCTTCAAAAACAAGAGAAAACGGTAGCCGGAAACGGAACAGATGATGAGGGTTTACAGTTATGCAGTGAAGACATGTGTGTCATTGATGAAGTGGACAGCAGTGAAGTTAAAGCAGAGAATGACACAGAGGAATGTGCACCCGTATCCGAAGAGCTGAGCTCCGAAACAACACACCGGAGTTGCGACGATGCTAAAAATGCAGAAGAAAAGGATCGTTGTCCCAGCGACTCTGGTCAAGCGCCGGAAGACAACATGGGCAAAACTGACACGGACAAAGGACAAATCCCGCAACGTTCAGACAATCCGGGGACTCTCAAGTCACCGAAACCACTAGAGGGCAGTGTTCATCAATCCACAGAGGATGACGTCTCCAACAGTCTTGTCTCCAACAGCCTCGACGTTACATCTGAAGCAGCGGAGGTGACTAAACCTGTGAGTGACACATGTGAAAGCACCATAAATTTACCAAAGACGAACCCGGAAGACGACGCCAGCGCTGCACCTGACCTCAACATGCTGGAGACCGAACAAGTACAGGAATGTGTGTCTGTTGATTCGTCTAACACAGACGTCAAGGCATCCACTTCAGTAGAACACCAAGAAGCCGAAAGGTCTCTCAGTGTCGGAAGTCCGACTTCTGCCGCCATTTTAGACCAAGACCGTCAAGAAGACTTCCACCCCGTAGCCTCATTAAGTCCCAGGCAAGAAAGTAGTGCGTGTCCCAAGGACGAGTGTCCTGTGGACGCAGACGCTGTATCCAGCACAATAAGCCTGGAATCGGTCCCCCAAGAAGGCCTGAGTTTACCCGAGGCCATTTACATGCTCACACAGACCAATGACGAAGTCGGCGACAGCGACGCCGCGGCTGAACCGAGCTCCTCCGTTGGTTGTATCGCAGTGTCCAAAGTGAGCAGCACCACAGAGGAGGTGGTGTCACCGGGGAAGTCCTGCAGCCTCACGGTCACGCCAAAAAAGGAGTTCACTCCGTCAAAGAGGCACGACGGCTACGCCGAGCCCTCCAGTTCGGTACTGGTGTTTATTGATGAGGACTCAATGATGCGCACACTGAGTAGCCTGAAGGGAATCCCTGATGTCATTAGCCCTATAAAGAGCCCCATGCGGATGACCAAGAGAAGCCATCTTCACGGCAAACTCGGTCTCGTCAAAAGCCTCCAGAAAGGTAGGGTCCTTTATGACGACTTTCGCAAAATACGTGTGCGCAAACATGCACAAAAAGGTCAATTGTTCATTTTAAATCGACCATGGGTACATAAGTGTGAATGGGTCGTTGTCTCTTTGACGGGCTGGTGAACTGTCTATTTCAGAGGTGTCGAGATCAGTCGTTGAAGGGGCCAACATTTGAACAGTCTAGTGCTGACGATGCTTTAACCAGAAACAAACTTTTTTTTTTTTTCCAATCGTGACAACTTTTTCGCCAAAGAAGCTAAATTAAAAAATTGGAAGCGAAATAGGAAATGTAGGTTTAAAATTCTTGGTTCCGTTTTGCTGTTTGTTGTGTTTACAATTTCTACTCAGTATAACTGATACTTTGTTGTTCTGTAGATAAAGTTGTTCTTTTGTCCCCTCTTATCTGTCTGTGCAGATTTTTCAAGTCCTCCTGCAGATAAAAAATTGGATGTAAACAAAGAAATTATCTGTCTGTGCAGATTTTTCAAGTCCTCCTGCTGATAAAAAATTGGATGTAAACAAAGAAAACAAATCTCCGGGTTCGCCGGCGGAAAAGAGATCGGATCTACTTCCAGTTCTCTCTGACACCGAACTGGAGGAAGGGGAGATTTTAAGCGAGAGCGACGAAGCCGCCGCTGCTTCCCCATCTCCAGCCAACAAGAGGGCGAAGTTGATCCTGCCCGTCAGGAAAAAGACGTCCCCCAAATCCGTGCTGAAGAGCAAATGTGATGAAAGAAGCGTCGGCTCCAAAGAAGCTAGCGAGACGACAAGCGGTTCGTCACGCAGTCCCAAGAGTCGCTTCAAAACCGTGTGTCCCGCGTCCGCCAAAGCTTCTTTCTCCACCGTAGAGGAAGTGATGGAAACATTTAAGTTGGTTCGCAGTGAGATCCGGAAAAAGTACATGAAACTTCACAAGACCTTCCCCAGGAGAAGCTTCTACGGCATGATGGAAAATTTTCAGGAGTCCTTTTTAGATTTTGTGAATGGGGCAAACTTTTGTCAAATATGCATCCAGGTGGGGGAGCTAAAGTCTAAACTGAAAAAGATGATCACATCTGTTTTTACCAAAGTCTCAAACAACGGGATCGTGAAAAGAATATTTGAACAGCAAGCGGTGGATCTAAAGCAGAGGTTGTGGGACTTTGTGGACGTCCAGGTCGACTACATGTTCAGGGACATTTGCGTGTTGCTGAACAGCTTTTGTAAACCAACAAGAGCTCACGAAGACGACAAAAGGCCCAGTAAGAATGAGAAAATCCCTGGACCTCCTGCACTACACAAATCCCCCAAAAAGGATTTACAGTCTCCCCCATCCAAACCCAATCACATCAAGCCGGCAGCTCCGGTGCCGTACCCAACAGGGCTCGGAAGCAGAGGCAAAGATATACGAATCATGCATGAAGAAAAAGACTGCAGTGATGACCCACCGCAGAAAAACTCCCCTCAGAAAAGAACCATAATTAACTTTCTTCCCCCCAGAAACGTAACTTTAACGCCGGAGAAAAGTAACGCCTCTTTACTCGACAAAACAGACTTTGAGCTCCTCACCGAACAGCAAGCGTCCAGTTTAACGTTCAACCTGGTGAGAGACTCTCAAATGGGAGAAATTTTCAAATGCCTCCTGCAGGGATCGGAACTGTTGGAACACAGCAACATCACAGGAGAGAGCACGTCCTGGTCTCTGGGCACTCCGAGGAAGGACGGAGACAGGATCATTGGCATTACGACGCCAACTAAATTCGACTTCCCATCGAAGCTGCTCAGCCCAAGCAGATTTACCACCCCTCCAAAGCTTGTCCCTTCGTGGTCCAGCATTTCACCGTGCAAGGTGTCGTCACTTCAGACCAAAGACCGGAGCCACCCGAATCCATCGTTTCTTGATGAAAGCTGCTTACTGGAGTTGCCGTCGGGGAATAAACCGCCTCAGTCGAGATTGGCTTCCGAAAAGTCGTACTCCATACTGGCTGAAGACCTGGCCGTCTCTCTCACCATCCCATCGCCCCTGAAGTCAGAGGGTCACCTCAGCTTTCTGCAGCCACCACGCGCACCCGTCATGTCCACGCCAGACAGCGTCATCAGTGCGCACATAAGTGAGGACGCCCTGCTGGAGGGCGAGGACGCTTCGGAGCAGGACATCCATCTCAGCCTCGACACAGACAACTCCAGCGGAGGCTCCAGCAGCGGCCTGGTACCGGCAGAGCGCGTCACGTCTTTCGTTTTCAAGCCCGACGTCCCCATGCAAGCGCTAGTGATGGAAAAGTCCAACGATCATTTCATCCTGAAGATTCGCCCGACAACAACCGCACTCGCAGATGTCACCCTGAAAGCAGATGAGAGCTTGAGTCAAACACTGATTGAAGCAAATCCGCATCACGCAGACGGAGATGCAGCAAATGAGGCAGATGAAGCAAAAGCTTCCGACTCGGGGGAAAAGTCTCCGAACAATAGGTCGCCGTCCAGTGCTGCTCTAAATGTAAAGGTTAATTTTAGCTTAGCTGAAGATTTGGAAACATCTCAAAGACCAGCAGGTCCAGAGGTCTATCGAACTCAAAGTAAAAAATCAGCAACATCAAATGGTCCATCCTTCATAAATTATATATCTTCAACCAAATCACAGAAGTTGTCCAAGTGTCGGAAGGACAATCCATCAAAAAACAACAGTTTGCACAGAGACAGCCTAGATCCTGTCTCGGTGCAGATCAGCCGGATGAGCCTCAGGGATGATATCCCCTCCGACAAGAAAAAAAGCCAAAAAGGAGATGCCCAGAATCACAAAAGTCCTGTGAACGTCAATTGCACAGGTGGACAAGAAATGGCTAGTCCTTCAACAAGTGCATTTTCAGATAGTTCTCATCACTCTCCTGCCAATAGCTCTCAAACTAAACGAAAGCGTCGAGTTTCCCCGTCACCAGTGTCAGACTCAAGGAAAGACAAGAAGAAGGCGTCACAGTCAAAGACGAAGCCCAGGAGCGAGGAGGACGTTGACGCGATACCAGAGACCGAACGGACGAAGCATGACACCGTGAGAAAACGGAAGAAGCACCGAGGGGAACCAGAACCGAAGCGGCGCAGAAAAACAGAGTTGGACAGCCCGGAAGCGTTGGAGTCCACCCCCGCAAAAGACAACGGCGTGTCAACGGCCTTCTCGCCAACTCTGTCCCCCAATAGTCTGTCGGCGAAGAATGTTGTCAGGAAGAAAGGCGAAGTGGTGATGTCATGGTCAAAGTTGGTTGCTCTTCTGTCACTTACCGCAATTCTGACAAATACAAAATAGTCAAGTGAAGCTAGGGGGTAATAAAACAACGCTAATTTATTGCCGCTCTTTCTTTTCTCGCAGAGACGAAGATCGGACCATTCTGCTGGAGCTGAAGACGAGAGGCGCTTCCCGCGAGACTTTCGCTGCTCTGTCGGACAAACTTAACAAGCCCTCGTCACAGGTGACTACACACGTTTGCCTGAGCTACACGTTGTTGCAAAAAAAAATAAAAAATTGACTTTGGATTTCAAATAAACGGCGTGCTAAATGTTCTCTCTTCTCAGGTCGCTCACAGGTTTTATCAGCTCATGAAGATTTTCAGAAAGCAGGAGAAGAAGGACGTCTGAAGCCTCGCTCAGCGTTGGTTGTTTCGGGTTTAGCTTGAGTTCTTTTTTTACGGGCAAAGTTGTAGGTTTTGGAGCCCCACTCACTGTTCTGTGAAGTTTTACGATCGGAGGTACAACAGATAGCAATATGTTTGTCACTTTTTGGGTTTAACTCTTTACAGTCTCTATATAAACAATAGGTTGATGTGAAGGATAATACGATCCATACAGTGTTACTACATTGGATGCACTTTTTTGTTTTTGTCCACAACTTACATGGTGCAATCAGTACTCCAGTATCAGTGTGTAATCGGAGCATACACGTCGCAAGTACTGTCTCTATACCACATTCTACCTCTCAACGTTCTAAGACATTGCACAACTGTTGGCACGACAAACTGATTTTCACATATGATACCCAACATTGGTTTTTCCTCTTGAATCAGCTTTTTGGACTGTGACAAACATTACACGTATATGTATGTGTATTAGTCCACGTGACTTTCTGTTCCTGGAAACCACTGAACTATTATAAATATGGGAGGTTCACCCACGTTCTTATACATAAGTGGTTTTAAACTTATATGTTTTTCGAAAAATGGTTGAGTTTGCATGGTGTGTGTTCGTGCCCTATAATGTTCTTAAAGGATTTAATCAAGATTTGTTTATACTGGTTGAAGAGCAGTGCGAAATACAGTTGTAAAATTTAAAAAAAGTTAGGGCAGTTTTTTTGTTTTTTGGCGTGTGGCGCTAACAGGCGGTATAGTTTTCAACGCTGTGAATATTGTACATAGTTCTTTACTGAAAATAAAGTATTATTTATTTACCTCGGTGTTTTTGTTTGTTTTGAATTCTCAAACAAAGTGATGTGCTGTGTCCATATTATTTAGGCTTAAAGGAGGTGGGAAAATGACACTAAGATAAGCTAATGCTAAATCTTTAAACCTCAACGAAATGCTAAAATGACTTAGCAGCCACGGCTAACAAAATATATAATACAAATTAAATATATACCCAAACAGAAATAATCTACATATTTTATTTACAACAGCAGGAAATATATTTGTTTGTTTAATGGGAGGAGGGGAAGCTATAAAAGAAGTAGAAATTTCCTGGAAATTTAAAATTTTTTTGCTAGTTGAGTGTCTGTGCACATAAAGCCTGTTTTTCCACTTAAACTGGGTTACGGAGGAACCAAACAGTATTAATGGCATCTTTAATGATCCTATGACATTTGAAATAAATATATTTCAAGCATAATTATAGGGTCAATTGGGGTTAAACATGATAAAGTATCTGTTAGTTTGTGCTTTCGTTAAATTGTAATTCATATTGACATGCCTCAAAGCAATGTAGTACAGAAACAGTATATTAGTAAGCATATTTTTTAAAAATATATGATTATTTTGTCATTATTTCTCAGAGTGAATCAAATAAAACGATCATAGAAGTCAAAAATGTGTACTTCCTGTGTCTTAAGTAGCAAATTCTCAACTCATTAACCTCACTTGACTTACTGGGAAAATAAATAAAATTAAAAATACAAAAGTTTCAGTTTAGAGGTATTTACGCAGCTGTTGCAAATTCTATTTAATGACAGATGCTGTAGGCAAATAAACCACTATGTTGCTAAACAAGCTCCCAGAGCTACGGAGGAAAATCAAACAAATGCTAATACTTTAGCATGACAAATAGGACCGTCTATAGCCATATACAAAAGTATTCAGGTTTACCAAAAATGGGTTGTTGTTTCTCAGATAGATCTGCTCTTCCTAGTCAAATATTGATACGCCGCTATCTTATCGCTCATTAAAAAAAAAAAAAACATTAGCATATCCACACCCACTACAGAGCTAATGGTTTTTAAAGCTAGTCTGAATCTCAAGCAACACCGGGTGACACTACATCTAATTCTTGTTTGTAGTATCCTGCATTTTTACCAAAGAAGCTGGTGAGTTTTGTTCATTTTATACTGAAGCTGTAGGTGTGTTGTGAAGATGGGCCAATCAGGACGTCCCTTGTAGCACATACATGTAGCTTTTAAAGACATATTTTCAGAAACATGTCTCAGATGTAGACAAAGGAAAAGGACAGTTTGGTAGTCCACTGCAGGGCTAATTGGTTAGCACCTTCGTATGTTCGACTTGGGGTATTAGCTTAAATGCTAAATGTAACCACCAACTTGGTGCCTCCAGAGGGCAGCCTGTTGCGGCAGAGCTGTGCAATATGCCGATGGGTTAAAATGAATTTGGGCGTTCTAGCTGTGGCTATAGCTCGGCAGGTCGTAAGGGCGCTCCTAACTCAGTAGCTGTGGCTATAGCTCAGCAGGTCGTAAGGGCGCTCCTAACTCAGGAACGGTATGAATCCGATTTTGGTCAAAATCTCATGATCAAACAACTATAGCTAGGCGATCTGATATCTAAGCTGTACACAGTGGCACTACCACCTCAGCAACGATAGCCGACAGCAGTTTTCGGATTGATAGTAAAAAAAAAAAAGGAAAATGGAAAATTTAAGTTGAAGCTTAGGCAGCTTCATTTTCTATGTATTGTTTCCTCAAATTTTCCAAGAACATTCCATAAATCAGACACTGCTTAGGCCTGACCTTTTGGATTCTATGTTGCAGAGATCATGTATGTTGTTTTGAACTTTGCTCTGTACTGACCAGTTACGGGAAAAAAAAATCTGAATCACGGACAAACCGTTGACTAATGTTTCGAAAATATAGATTTTCCTCAACATAAACAAATCACTAATCATCTGTGGACATTGATGTGTATATACATTTGGCATTACACCTTAAATTATAGAGTAGAATACATTGTACATGGCTGCGTATTGACATTTTGGTTTGTGCCATCTGTGTTGTGTCCTGTTGATATTGCAGGGTGAAGCTAACCTCGGGGCACTATAGGGTCATGTGGTAGGATCAATCACAAACCAGAGTCCCAGTTTGCAACTGCGTTGAAATAGTGTCCGCTACTCTGGACAGAGGAGTTGCGTCTGTCTTTAATGGACCACAGTCGAGAGCCGTTGTCCTTGAAACTAAAGTGTTCTTTTATAATGTAGCCCCCAACTGAAAGAACCGCATCCTGGAGAGCAAGTAAGTACATTATTGTTTCTCTATTAAAATTTTGATACATTGTGAGTATTACTCATGGTTTTGTTTTTGTCCCCTAGAGGTTACTCATAATATGACTAAAGATGGGCGACTGGAACTTATTAGGGAGTATTTTGGAAGAGGTCCACATCCATTCGACCATTGTGGGAAAGATCTGGCTCACCATTCTCTTCATTTTCCGAATGCTTGTGCTCGGCGTCGCAGCTGAGGACGTCTGGGATGACGAGCAGAGTCAGTTCGTATGCAATACAGAGCAGCCGGGCTGCAAAAATGTCTGTTACGATCAGGCATTCCCAATCTCTCTTATCCGTTACTGGGTACTTCAGATCATCTTTGTGTCCTCCCCGTCTCTGGTCTATATGGGTCATGCCTTATATCGTTTGAGGACTCTCGAGAAAGAGAGGCACAAAAAAAAAGCCGGCTTGAAAGCGGAACTGGACGGGAAGGAGCCCAACCTCGAGGACCAAAAAAGAATTGAGCGAGAGCTCAGAAAACTAGATGAACAGAAGAGAGTAAGGAAAGCCCCCCTCAGAGGGTCCTTGCTACGCACATATGTTTTCCATATCTTGACTAGATCCATGGTGGAGGTGGGTTTTATAATAGGTCAATGTGCCCTCTACGGTGTCGGGCTCTCCCCTTTGTACAAATGCGAGCGGTTGCCTTGCCCCAACAGCGTTGATTGTTTTGTGTCTCGGCCGACAGAGAAAAACATTTTCATGATCTTCATGCTAGTTATTGCTGGAGTATCTCTGTTCCTCAACATCCTGGAAATTTTCCATCTAGGCGTTAAGAAAATCAAGCAAAGCTTGTATGGATACAAATACAGCGAGGATGAAAGTATGTGCAGATCGAAGAAGAACTCCATGGCGCAGCAGTTATGTGTTGTCACCAACTCTTCGCCGCAGAGGTTGATACACCTCACACAATTAACCTCAGGGGTCTCTGATGTTGTCGGAGAGGTCCCATCTGTCAGTTTGCCCCAAGTGACCTCCGTCAATCGGGAGGGGTCTGTTAGCCTACAGCAGCAAAAGAAGCTGTCTTTGCAGCTGCCAAACCAAGAGGACTTCCAGGACATGCAGAAAATGGGGGCTGTTGAGAGGCGGTACACGCTAGAGAGCATGAGACCCTCAAGCGATGAGTCCTACGAACACCGGAGCTCGTGCCAGCCGCAGAGCAAAGGCCCCCGACCCTCACTGATGGCCAGCGCAATGGAAATCCCAGCAGCCCTGAAGAACGTACAGAGGAAGCAGAGCAGGGTGAGTGTTTGTAAGGAATTCAGTGACACGAGCGATTCCTTGGAGAGCAACCCCTACCCCACAGTCAGGAAGTGCAGTTTCATGTCCAGAGGACTATCGGAAGGAAAACTGGTGTCTTCGTCTGACAGTTTCGACTGTCGGAGTTCAAACGAAATGGAGTGCCAGCATCTCAACCAAGGGGAGAGTCCGATGGTGACACCCCCGCCTCCAGCCAGTGGCCGAAGAATGTCAATGGTGAGAGCAGCAATTTAGGTCTTCATAAATTACAAACATAACTTGGATTCGAATCTGGCCTGTGACTAGAGGACAATAATATATATGAACTATATATATTAGACAATCTTAATATTTAATGAAATATCATTTTACATATCTTAATATTTAATGAAATATTTTACAAAACATATCATGAACATGTAGCATTTCTGCCTTTTTTTTTTTACTATCAAATACATCAAGCGGGCCGGATTGAACATCCTAATGGGCTGGGTTTGGCCTGCGAGCCCTATGTTTGACATCCCTGCTTTAGTTGGTTATTTTAAAAAAGACAAAATGTTGCACTAGCTGAATATTTTTTAATATATTCTTTTCCAAAATATGTTTATTTGGCTATTGAATAAGATACAAATGTAGCCTTTTAATGAAATGGCAGTTGCAGCCGGGCTACATTTGTATCTTATTTTATTCCATAGAGAAACGAGTTGAATCCTAAAATATGTTTATTTTGCTATTGAATAAGATACAAATGTAGCCCTTTAATGAAATGTCTGTTGCAGCAGTTGGACCGATCGGCCGTTACTGGCTGTTACTGTGGACCAGTAGCCGACTTTTGGAAGATAATGTTACATTTTCAAAATCTTTAAGGCTTTATTCTGTTAGTATCGGAATGTGGATGACATTATTTTGCCAGATATTAGTAAATTAGTAAAAAAAAAATTTGCATCGTGTCCCACTGGGACCGGTATCAGTCCGCAGACCTGGGTTTGAGGACCCCTGATCAATAGTATTATACAATAAAACAATGCATTCAGTGGGGTGTGGGTCCTCCCAGGGGCCTTCCTCGTAAAGTATTTTGTGAATGGCAAGAGTTTCAGATTGGTGAAGCCGATGAAAAGTCTCAAAAGTCTGACTCTCTGGTGACCCCTGGCTTATGTAAATAAGATGTGCAGAAATGTGGATATTTGAAGTGTGCCCTTCTACTCATTGTATATAAGTGGACAAAACCAAAGGTAAGATCTAGATCAGTGGTTTTCAAAGAGTGAGGAGCCTCCCCTAGTGGTTGCCAGAGCACAGATATTTTTGGTTCATTTTGCATCTTGTTGGGTTTTATGTCTGTCAATATTGGTACAAGTTTCTCCCTAGTAACCCTTTTGTAACGAACATACAGTACGTCTTCTGTGTCTAATGGTTCCAATGAGTCCTAGCGCTGTCTAGTAGTCTGTCCCGAGTACAAAAACAACAGGCTCAATCCCGATCCAGACAAAGAGAAGAAGAGAAGAAGTCTTATTCCATAGAGAAACGAGTTGAATCCTGAGATTGTGCTGCTGCCTCCATTTTAGGTTCAAGGTCCAATCACATTTTGTCATTGATTACCCCTATTTAGCAGGTTATCCTGCCTTTTTCTGACACTCTTTGTCAAAAATATATACTAACAGTTATGGTAAAAAAAAAAAACGCAAAATCTTTTTGCTGTACCCACTACTGTATTTTCCGGACTATAAGTCGCACTTTTTTCCCATCCTTTGGCTGGGTTTGCGACTTATACTCAGGTGCAACTTATATATTAGAATATATACTTTCTTTTCACACTGAAAGCCTCTAGAGGGCGCTCTTGGCTTGTGTACCAGTATCGGCTACTCCTGTATCACTTAAAATCGTTATTTTCACACTGACAGCCGCTAGAGGGCACTCTAGCTGAATGGTGCGACTTATATCATTTTTCGGATGTGATATATATATAGGTGATGGTTTTGATCACGCTCCAAAATTTGAAGATTTACTTAGTTGACCAATCCACTTCGACCAAGAATTGTGACAAAGTGCTTGTTTGTGTGTTTGCAATCCGTGACAAATCTTCTCTAGTCAAATATAAAGTCACAAAACATAACGGATATAAAAAATACAGTCATCAACATATCAACTGCTCTGATAATGTTTTGAGCGAAGGCATAAGTTAGCATGCACCACCTGTCCTAGAATGGCTACTATAACACGCTGGTGTGTATTTATCTACGTTAGGCATGACGACTATGACGACATATACCATATTTTCCGGACTATAAGTCGCACTTTTTTTTTTGCGACTTATACTCAGGTGTGACTTATGTATTAAAATATATAATTTTACATGTACGTTATTTTCACACTGAACGCTGCTAGAGGGCACTGTAGGCATGCCCAACAGTATCTGCTACTCCTTTACCACTGAAAATTTACATGTTTGTTATTTTCACACTGACAGCCACTAGAGGGCACTGGTGCGAACTTATACTCTGGAGCAACATATGTTTTTTTCTTCATTTTTTGGCTGGTGCGACTAATAGTCCAGAAACAAATGGTATGTAAGTTACTCTTACTCTTTTCTCACTCTGTCTTTCTGTTTTTTTTTTCTGTTTTCAGAGTATGATTCTGGAGCTGTCTTCCATCATGAAAAAGTAAACTGAAAACGACCATTTTCGGAAGAAATCAAGAGGAACTAGCTTCAACTTTGTACTTCTTTGTATGGAAAAGACAACGGTAGCCAATCAGGTGGCATCATTTGTTATGATTCTGGATTACATCCGCAACGGGTCGTCTCACTGATCCTGGAACTTTTCCGTTAACTCGCATTCACATTCAAACGTAACAATAGTAACCTGAGGAAAACCACCGTCCATATGGGTAGAACCAATTAGACTACACGCAAAATGTACAGGCAACCAGCAACCCTCTTACTGCGAGGCAGCAGCAATGAACAACAACGCCACCTGACAATATTCACGCATGCGTAAAAGCTTTGGTATAAATGTTTAACAGTTACTGCAGACAATAGTTCCGTACTAATGTTTTGGTTTTTTTTTCTAGGTTCAGTAACATTTGATCTCCAGTATCCTTTGCATTGACAGTTTTTCATTCTACAAGAGTCACCATTTCCTAAAACAAAAACCAGGAATAGATTGAGCTCAAAGCATACACAAGGCTCATTAAATGAGAAAAAACAGTGACAAGATATTTAAATTTAAAATTTTTTAACCAATGTTTATAGTTTATCAAATTATTGCAAAACATTTCTGATGTCCTGTTGTTTTTTTTGTTGTTGTTTTTTTTTGCTAATAAACCTTTGTGAACGTTACTCATTTGATGCGTTTTGTTGCCTTCATTAAGATCGACTACAACGCGTTTCTTAGAGTGGGAAAGTGCTAAGTGCAACATGGGAGTTCCCTTAGCAGCCTAGGCCTATAGTGTGATACCTTCGTAATAGCCCAGTTTTACCTTACAAGTAGAAGTTGTCAAAAAGGAAGTTTAACTCTAAATATAGAGAGAGTATCAGTCTCGCAAACCTGCACTGGAAGATGGTTCTAAAGGTGAGGGGCGTGGTAGCTGAGCAATCTGCCACTTATTCTATATTTTCCATTCTTACTAATTGTAAGTTGGCCTGCATTTTCAGAGTAAGATGACCTGTTTGAAAATTAAAATATAACTAAAGATAGTCTGCTTTTTCAATAAACAAAGCGTCCCTTGAAACTGTGTAGCAAAAGTTACACAAATAAACACACGCACAATGTTCTAAAACACAGGAGCAGGACCCAAATGCAGCTTAATTAAAACAAAGGCAAAGCACGTGACACAGCAAACTCTGGGGATTGTGGGAACTAAGATGAATTACAGGGGGAAACTAAATGGTAAAACAAATTCAGCGAGGTAAAGACAGAGCAGAACAGCAGCAAACCAGTCAGACAAAGGAGCAACAAGAAGAGCGAGAGTGAAGGAGAGAGCTTTATATACCCAGGGCACCAGGTGACACCAGTGAGACTGATTAGACAAAGAGGGAACAGGACACAGGTGAGAGTGATTAACTAAATACCAGGGAGAACAGACAGAACAGACAACAAAGACCGAAATAACCTTTAACCCAAGCGTGACTTTGTGAGTTGAAGTTTATCAATTTGTTCATTTTTAAATGTATTCAATTGAGAATAGAACTATAGGAATATACTATACTATGGAATATTAGCTGCCGTCTCCGTCCTTGATGTTCAAACACCAACACATTGCTGACGTTGTTAACTGATTTTAACCAACTATCAAACAAGGAAAGTGAGAAATACTCTTTGACTTTGTATTTATTTTTGAATTAACCTTCATCTATATATTGAGATACAGTTGAGACAGAACAGGGGTGCACACATATACATATATGTATAAATATATATATACAAATATATATACATGTATAAATATATATGTATATATAAATATATATATTTATACATATATTTATATATATTGTGTATATGTATATACATATATTTATATATATTATATATATTTATATTACAATATTTTAATTTATATTTATATGTATATATATATAGTTAAATTTATGTATATATACTTTTATTTATATTCATGCATTTCATACGTATATATTTATATGTGTGTCACAGACCGAACATTCCACCTCGGTTTTACCTGCAATGTTTGTCACCTCATATAGGGACAGAGGGGAGGACGAATCAGGGTAACCCCCCCCTCCCGACCCCAACCCCCCGAACCTGCGACCAGGAGACAAAAGGTGTTGGAGTCATTTCAGACCTACAAACAAACAACAATTAGTTGCGGAGAGACAGAAATACAATCTATGTCGTGCAGAACAGTGAAAAATCAATACTGAAAAATCAAAGTGGCAGAGCGGATTAAAGTACTATGAACAGTAACGGGTATTTTTCACATGTCTGTAAATGTTGATTACAATAGACAAGTCAAGTCACGTTCAAAATTCATCAAGCAGGCCAGATTAATGAATTTAAAGTAAAAACGAAAAAAAGTACTTATTTGCATAAAAACAAAGGGGGTAAAACATGGACTTATTGCGATTTATAGGCAATTATGTTATGATTGTACTGGTCCGGCCCACTTGACATCTAATCAGGCTGTATGTGGCCCCTGAACCACAATGAGTTTGACGCACCCCCCCCTCCCAGCTTTAGAAAGTTCTAGAAAAAGGACCTCTGCAGCGGCAATCACCAAACAGACGACGTGATATGCATGTTTCTTTATTTCATAAAGAGAAATGGTGTCTAGACAAAAAAAGTCGTTTAGATAACACTAGCAATTGAAATGAATGAAAATCGGGTTTGCACGATACCATATTTACAATGAAGTCATTTCAATTAATTAGGGTCATGTAGCAATTTTGAAAAAAAAAAATTATAAAGGTAAGAACTCTTAGTAGAGAATAAGCAAAAAAAACAAAAACAAAAACAACAAAAAAACAGCTATTTTTTCAAATTGACAATATTAACACAAAACAGTCGTCTAGAAAAAAAAACAAAAAAAACGAATGACAAAAAACAGCAACTTGAACTACCGAGCTTAAGAGCTATTACATTAAAAAAAAAACGATGCACCAAGAATCGACTAATACAATAATCCATATAATCTGTGTAAAAAGCATGTAGAAAAAACACCTGATGCAGTTTTGCTAATACAGTCATTGACCAGTTATGAGAGGTATGAAAGATTTCACAGGTAGATAAGTGTGAGAAAGTCCGCACTGGTGACTCAGGAATGGGGGCCCAGGCCCCTGCATACACTCACTTCACTTGAATGTGAACTATGGCCTCTGCACGTTCTAAGGCAAATATTAGGGATGCACTTGTATTTTATAGTATGCTAACCCTTCCCCAAAAGTTGAACCGAAGAGCTAAGAGCCGGTAGAATTAAACCAAGTGATTTGGACATGGCAAGATTTGTTTTTTTTTTACACATGACTTGACACCTGTTTGTAAACATATTCTGTTTTTTTTTTTTTTTTTTTTAACATTATATCCTTCCGTTAGCTCAGCCTGTGAATTCAACCAAGGGTACGGGATGTTGATTTTCCCCAACAATTTTGAGAGCAGTTTATGAAAAAAGGCATGCTTTTTGTTCATATTCTTTTTACAGAACGACCTTTGGAGTTGAAAGCCAGTGTTTGTTTCCAGAGAAGCAGCAAAAAAAAAAAAAAAAAGAAAAAAAAGTTGAACGAAAAAAAGACAAATACACGGAAAAAAGGAGCACTTAATCACACCGACGGCGAAAAAACTTCTTAATTTAAATCTAACCGTTGTTACCGAACAGAGAAAAACGTTTTGTCTGTACAAGAAAAAATGGGCGGGGCCGTGTTATTACAGCTGTAGGGTAATTGCCAATAATCAAATTAATGTTGTAATAATATTTTTAAAAGGTGTAAAAAATAAAAAATAAAAGTGAAGCTGAAATATTTGTTAATGAACAGTACCACAAAAATTAATGTGAACATAAGACTTATCAACCAAACAGGGAAATGAGTGAAAAAACAACTGAGGGACATGTGGGATGACAATAGGCTGCCCCCGGTGGCCAAGTCAATAAATGCAGAATTCAATTATATTATGAAAAAATTTCTGGTGTTTTCCCTTAAGGTTGGTTCACCCATGTTTAAAAATCACATTTTTTTTAGTCATAGTTTTTTTTTTTATCATTTCTGGTGTTTTCTCTTGAGGTTGGTTCACCCGTGTTTAAAAATCGTATTTTTTTTTTAGTCATAGTTTTTTTTTTTACATATAGTTTTCCAGATATTTTGATCTTCCCTACATCCCAATACAATGGAGGCGACTTGAATTTTTCTTTTTTTTTTTTTTAAACTAATTGCATCTACCAAGTGAAACATTTACCCAGAGGATTAAACATGAGGTTGTGATTAATGCGTTTCAGTGACATCAGCTCCATTAATTTGTCCTCCACTGTGTTAACACAGGAGCTTAGGAACCAATCTCTAGAGACAGAAATCCCCAGACGCCAAAGTGAAAACCAGACAATTTTTTTTTTTCCAAACGGATAATGAAGATGTTGACGGTGCTGAAAACACAACAAGTAAGCAGAAGACGGAGCGCTCTGGTCGAGCCGAACACTTAGCATCGGAGCATGTTGTAAGTTTCAAAGAGCACCCCCTACAGGACATTCAGTGAATTACATGTTTGATTGAAAAAAAAAAACCCAAACAAATCACATCGGGATACTGTCATCAGTCGGAAGTGATTTTTCCAATTTTGATACTGAGAATGAATTTGTCAATTTAACAGACTTTTTTTTTTCATTTCGCAGAATGTTTCGGCACATAAAAAAAAAAAAAAATCCCATATGTCAGTTTACCAAAAAATTTGTTTCTGCAGGCATAAAATAGTGCTCTTTAAAATTACAACAATGTTCCACTTTAATTTCAGGGCTTCCACATATGTAGATGAATACTGATCTGATTAGGAGAACGATAATGAAAAAAAAAAGAAGAAGCATAAAACACTCGAACAAAACGTTTGAGAAAAAAAAAAACAAAAAACAAAAAAACAAAAAACTCACCAGTCGACAAAGAGTAACTACTGCTCTGCACCCAGGCTGTGCTACAACATATGCACTGAGAGTGTGTGTACTGTTTGTGTGTGTGTGTGTGTGTGTTTGAGTGTGCGTGGGTTCGTGTACTCTACATAGAAGCACGTCCTTAAAAACGAAGTTAACGAAGTTTCAAATGGCTGCGTGGAAACGACAATCTCTACCGCGAGATGCTAACTACAGTTTTTACGTCTTAAATTTACATCGGTAAAAAGATCAGGGCGGACTAAAAAAAAAAAAAAAAAAAAGTGTTCGTCCGATCTTTGAAGCCAACTATTTTGTCTACGATGATACGGGGTTTACTTCAGTGCTATATATTCTAACAGGAATTATTTTTTGGCAACGTTCATCGAAGCTACGATATGTTGCATGGTGTACTACTGAACTAGTACGATGTTTCCGACATTAGCAACTAAGGCCGAAAAGGAAACCAATGTGTGTTTTCCTACTACCGGTGCTTCCCAAAATGTGGGTTGTAGCCTACCTGGGCTGCTTAGTGGTACTGACTGGTTAGAAAGCTTACAAAAACTGAAATTAATTTTCTAGTTTCGGTAAAATATATTAACAACGTAATGCTTTACATTGTGTACGTAAAGTTGCGGCGTACTCCGTGTAAGATATCGAGAATATTCTCTTTCAGTTTTAGAGACAGATTGGATATCAAAGTCATCAACGGTGTACTGTTCCGCTACATTGCTGGTATTTTTGAAGACTTGTCAGGCACAACAGAACAACGCAGTTTGTACGGCAAAGTTTCCGATATGTGAATATTTAGCACTGCAGTAGATACATTTGGAGAGTAAATGAGATACTACAATATCTCACGTCTGAGAGTACACTGAGTGACGGCGACTAATGAGAAGCGTCTACTGCAGACGACACATTAGTGTAAAACAGGCGTGGGCAAACCTTTGACTCGTGGGCCACAATTGGTCCTAAAACTGAACAGGGGGGGCGGGGTCAGAAAAAAAGATGGAGCGTTTGTGTGAACTTAGATAAGTGACATGTAAAAGTCATGCATAAAGGCTAAAATGCTAAAATGCTTTTAGCCTTCTCTACGCCATCTATTGGGGGAACGCGGTCATTGCAGGGAAAAGACATAATAAGTACAATGATAATATAAATCCATTACATAATTTGGGCAAGTTTGGCGGGCCGGATTAAGAAGCTGAACGGGCCGCATCCGGCCCCCGGGCCGTAGTTTTCCCATGCCTGGTGAGCTATCGGGGCTTAAGAGAGCAACAGAAAAAAAGCTTTACATTCTAATTGAACTCCACCTTTGTACTAGAGCGTGACCTTTTGCTTTTTCTGTCAAAGCCAGCATCAAAGGAAAGTTGAGAACTTTTTTTTTAGCTTGTTTACATAATAAGAAAACATATTTGTAACTTTATATTTTTTAAAGTGAAAATAAAAAAAATTGCTAGACGGCTCCAGAGGGAACTTTGCGAGGCGAAAAGAACTAGCTAGGCTCACAGCTATAGGCAGCATGCATGCACATCACAAAGCAGATGTTCAACCAAAACGCACAAACGGGGCAAACGTGTTACTATCTCGTACGATTGCAGCTCCAAAATGGTTCCGACAACATATATATACTGCTTCCACGTCTAGTAAATTCCGAAGTAGCTTATTTAAGTCCTATAACGAAATACAAATATGATGCGAGAACACTCTTGCGATAAAACATTTTGTTTCTTCTTGTCTTTAAGTTTCAGATACATTTTCGTTACGTTTTGAATGTATTGAATATATTTGAAAATTTTTTTTCCTCAAAAAATTACATCAACGCTGTGTTTTCGTTTCGAAGTGCCAATTTAAGTGCTCGAGTTTTTTTCTGAAAAAAAAAAAAAAAAATCCTCATTGAAGTGCTTGATGGCTCCTCGGCCACGAACAAAGTGCCTGACTTCAAATTTACGACTTTTTTTTTTTTCCTCGCTGATTAAAAAATCTTTTAAGTCAAGAGCGTTAAGAATATTAGATACATCAGGATTCATTTGGGGGAAACGTTTCCGTCACGCCAAACAGTAACACCGTAGCAATCTGAAGCACGTTTGCGAGAGTCTACATGAAGAGCATCCCTAAATACTGATAGAGAAAAAAAAAATTTTACTCGAGAGAAAGAGAAAAAAAAAAAAAAACACAAGGCAATTTTTTTCACATTTAAAAAGGAGTCAAACGTGGAGGGGAGCTGGCCTGAGCCATGTTATACGTAGATAACAACCTTTATACATGCATGGGGCTATCAATGTCACGTGTGAGATGACGTGTTCAAGTGTGTGTGTGTGTGTGTGTGTGTCTACGTGTGTCGAGCTGATTTCCTGAGTAAAAGAACACCCACAATGATGGGGGATATTCATTAGGCAGGACAGGAAACAGCAAAGCAAAGAATTTTTTTTTTCCCATTAGCAAAAAAGGTGCTTGATACAACCCCAGTGAAAAAAAAAAAACAAACAAACATCTAAGCCTCTACCTGTACAAAAAAAAAAAAAAGGAAAAATATCACCATTACAGTCATCATGCTCCAAGACTATATACATTTTCTGCCGAACAAGCACTTGAAAGTCAGTCACTGTCACAACACCCAAATACAATGGTATTGCTGATGAGTGGGGAAATAAAAAATAGTCATTTAAACCACCTACAAAAAACCTTCGTTTTCAAACTTTCATTTTATAGTGCTGAGGAAGGCAAAGGAGGAATGTTTTCAGTTGCAGCCTGTACAATTTCCCGCTGTACAGAAATACAAACACGGAGACGCTTGAAGACATGTTTGTTTGTTTGTTGGTTTGTGTTTGTTTGTTTGTTTGTTTTTGGTTGGTTTGTGTGTTTGTTTGTTTTTTTTGCATATGAACGTTTATACAGTCTGACTGCATCGTAACTTCCTCGTTTACAGAAGCGTTTTTTTTTTTTTTTTCATGAATTCGGTTGAACATTCAGAGGATTTTTTTTTATTCCTGAGTTTGAGTTGCTGTGACAAAAAGGGCCACTAGGGTATAGTGAGAGACTATAGAAAAAGACAAAAGGAGAGAGGGAGATAGTGTGAGAGAGAGAGAGAGGTAGAGAAGATTAACAAAGACAGAGTGGGAAAATAAAACAAAAAAAAAAACAAGAGTGAAAGAGAAATCTGAGAGAGAGAATAACCAAACGCGGAGACGCTGCTGTTAGAAACGTAGAAAGATGCGGCGGATTCGGTCGGATGAGGTTGAACGGCGATGATCGACACATGAAGAACGGAGTCTCCGTTGCAGAGGTTTTGCTCCTGCTGTTGGGCCAAATATAGCACCATCTTGAAAGATTTGGTGAGAAGTTCCCACTCTGTCGCGATACGAGAAAAATACCTGGAGAACAGTATTGCTGCTGTTAAGACAACTTTAGTGTCAACCATTCAAAAAAAAAAAAAAAAAGAGAAACCAAAAAAAAAAAAGACATAAATACATACAATGCCTATCTTTCAGTGAACACTGGGAGATCCCGACATCTCGATAACCCCAACGGGGGGTTTTGTCAGAAGAATAAAATTAAATAATAAAAAACATCAAAAATCAACAACAACAACATCATCAACTACAACAACAACGTCAACGATAACAACATCAGGAGGAACCCCCCCCCTCCCCCCACTACTTAGTACAGTCCTTCCTTGGCTGCTCGTCAGTTGTACATTTGTCAGTCATTTCCTGGCAAAAATCAACTGTTACCGTCTGGTTAGACTTTTCGGCGGAGAGCCCCGACTTTGTGTACAAAGCGGCGTCCTCCATGTTTTTGTCGGCGCCGTTTCGAACGCCCACGTCTGGCTCACTCTCCGAGGGGCCGGGTGACCCGTGGAAGCTCGGTTCGGGCGTGGCGGAGCCTGAGTGCACGGTGAGGTCGATGCTGGTGGTGGTGTTGGTGATGGTGATCGGGCTACGGGAGGGTTGCGGTTCTCGCGTGGCGTTGTTGCTAGCAGTGGAGTTGGCGGGCCGCATCACGGGGCAGTAGTGGTGTAGAGACTGGACCTGCTCGGGACTCAGCTGGACGTCCCGGCACACCTCCTGGGACAGACATGAGAAGTTCTCCCACAGCTCGCCCATACACGCCTTCAGCTGGTTTCTCTCCGTCAGCAACTTCTCTTTTTCACACACCTGCAAAAACGCGTATACGTCAGAAGATGGGAATGGGTCTCTACTCTTACAGCACTTGTACAGGGGGTCCTCGGTTTACGTCGTCCTCAATCTATGGTGTTTCGTGGTTCGAAACGCGTTCCCACAAAATGTGTTCCGTGGTTCCCGCCAAACACCATAGGTGTTCCCACGAAACGCCATAGACGTTTCCGTCTCCCATAGAGTCTTGTTCTATCATTCTGACATACAGCGTTCGCACGGGAACTAGTGGACGAATGTGTTATTACACGGCGCTTAAACCTGGATATATACTACTAACCATAAGCGATCAAATATATTGACGAATCACCAAACAGTTGTTTACATTAATTTAAATTACTTCAACGATCCCAGGGAAATACCACTCAAAGTAGTGACGACAGTGCCGTGGACCAATCACAGTCGACCCTGACACTTACCAGCTTCCTGATCTCACACTCCAGGTTCAGGATGCAGTCAAGCTTCCTCTTACGGCAGCGCTGTGCTGCGATGCGGTTCTTGCTCCGCCGCCTCACGTCGTGGATGAACTCAAGCTGCTCCGAGGTCAGTTTGTGCATTTTCACTAACATTTGGAAGTCGTTCCGTGGAAGATTCGTGATTTGATCGACGGGGAACGGGAGCTTCACCTGCGAGTGAGAGAAGATCAGTTCAGCAATGTATTTTAGTGTCAGGATATGGAAAAGTATTTAGGGAATGTTTCTTGATTTTTGAGTGCTGAAACGGAGATATGAACTACATAGATGTGCATAGTTGTTTGTCAAGCAACTCTCAATTACACTTTGGGCCCTGAAAACAGAACCCTTCTATAAATATGAATAACTATCAATGGGTATCTTTCCTTCCTAGCCCCATCGCTCTTGGTAAGAAGGAGCTAGCTTATCTGGGACAGAGGGCTAGTTTCCTGCGAATTGGCCCTAGTGATACAGCCTAAAACAAAATTCAAATTTTGACTCATTATTCACTTATAAAATATATAATATATAATAATATATTTATATTCATAATATAAAATATACCAAAACAACCCAGAATGGCAAGAAAACATTAGATGTGGTTGAAAGTCAGCATCTGTTTCCCTATATTAGCTTTAAATAATGGCTGGAAAAAGATGAAAAAGTATTGTAAAAATCCCAAAAACCAAAAACAAAACAGTACTAAATGTGTTTTGTTTGTGTGTATGTAAGGGTTAAAGCTAAAATCTACAATCTAACAAACGAATCTCATCGATGTTAATACTGCGTATTAACAATGTGCAGTGTTTTGGTTGCTTTCCGACAGTTCACAGATTTGACCACCAGAGGGCATGAGAGCTCCACAGAGCAGAACCTAGTTTTCATTTCAGCGGCTCAATATATATAATCATGTAGAACATTTCTATGAAAAGTGAAGATGTGATTCAGGAAGACTACTCAAAGCCAGTCCCGCCCTCCGATTCAGACGTACGTCAGGACGTAGAATGACGAGATGTGTCACCCTGATCCAAATCTGTGCCACGTGATTTTCTGTAAGCACGTGAATATCTAGAAAATATTTAGCAAGGAAATAAGTAAAGCGGTGGGTTTTGTTGCTAGTTTTCTTTCACATGCTTATTTTCTCGATTTTTTTAAAAAAAACAACAACAAGTCAGCCTTCTCCCCCCCCCCCCCCCCCCCCCCAGGTGATGATGGCAAACCATACGATAAGCACATCACAGGCTGATCCACCCTAATGGTATCTGTGTACACCAGGGAGCTGTGGCTTAAGGCAGTCGGGGAAGCAGCAGCGGAGGCATAACAAAGAGCCAGAGGATGACAGCCGGAGAGCTTGGCAGAGATGTGACGAGCTGCTGCTGCTGCTGCTTCCTTTTTTCCTCCTTGCCTATCCCCATCCACTCTCTCCCCGTGGCTGCTACCATGCAGCAGAGGCAGAACAAAGCCAAACAAAGGAAGAAGAGACGGTGGAAGAACGAGGAGCAAAAGGATGTGACTTCCTCAAGCGATATACCTGGCTGCTCAAGTGGGGCCCAGATGCCTCCCTAGAGGTGCTTAAATGCTACGGTGACTTGCGGGGCTGAGAGAGAGAGAGAGAGAGACTGCAGCTCAGCCCTTTCTCCGTGCTGGTGCACAGAAGTGGCTGAGGTGTCACCTGGTGTAAGCGCTGCACTCTGGGGGATAAAGCAAGGCGCCTAACTCAAGAGCCAGGCAAATCTAGATGTCAATTTTTGTCTTATAGAGAGGAGAAAAAAAAAAAAAAAAAGGCCTCTATTTTCCTTGTTAGAGATGCAGCCCTCTGAGGCGCCAGGAGCCCTCTTTCTCATCTCTCTTGCTCAACATCTGCATGCAGACACATGAATAAATAATGACCCCAGCTTTCAAGGCCACAGCAGGCTCCCACTGCTTGGCCAGGCCACGACTGCTACAGCCTCAAAGAGACGCAGGGGTGGGGTGGGGTGGGGGCTGGGGGGGTTTACAAAGCATAAAAGCGAGCTGCCACGTTCATGTAAAGCAGAGGTGAAGATGACGGTCTTTGTGGTCGGACAGGTTTTGAGTGGAGTGTGTGTGTGTGTGTTTTGCCAGTACAGCAGCCAATGGGATCTTTTTGTCCAAACAGTCAAGGTGGATGGAGACACCGCAACCTTGTCCTGTATCTCCACCCCTCCCCCTCTCGCCCCCCTCTACTTCCACCAGCAGTCACTGGTACACAGGGGAGGACTAAATTTAGCTGCTCACCATGAAAACCAGTTCACTGGTGAAACTGGGATGACAGAGTACATATCCACCACGATCATAAATTCACACCCAACTGCTCTGGATTTACATTTATTTCTCAATTCTCTTCACAGTCACTCTCCTTCTCTGGGCCATTAGACTGAAAATGGGGTACGGTCTGAAAAGTAGGGCTCATCCATTATCAGGACCTGAGCTGTGCCGGGCCTCAGCCTTGACACGAGGCGCTGTAAAAAAAAAAAATAAATAAATTGATTTTCGACGTTTCGGATTGTGTTTCAAACACAACAGGGGCTGTATGTGGGACAGGAGGAAGTCTCAGTCATTGATCATTTTACCAACAGCGTTTCCTCTTTCTTCTTTCCTCTTTTTCTTGTACGATAAACCCCGATAAAAGTATCTAACATTTAATTTGATATTTCAAATGATCTCCATCCTTAATTTAACCCATACAAAATAAAAAATGTAAAAAAAAACAAACAAAACAAGTCTCTTGAAAATTTTACAATTAATCGATTATTGAACTGATTAAAAAAATATTTTTTATTTGCCATTTTTTAAAAAATGAGTTTGGACTGCTGTTCCGACAGCATGCTTCCCATGGGAAAATTGTGGCCCCTGAACAGGTTTTACATGGCCCCGCACTTAAAAATGTGTTATTTATGGACCACCAGGGTGGTAAAACAGAACTAATTAATCATAACAGCTCAAGTTTTATCTCCTTTCTTACGGGACGCGGCAGCTATTGCCTCCTTTTGTTACTAATGATGCTTCAAAAGCCTAGAAAGTGTTAGCAGACCTATATTTCTTTCTAGCTTATTTGTCAATGTGGTGTCGTTTCTGACATTTTATTCCTACTGCAATCACCACCCCAGTATCCCCGAGTAGATCAAGACCTCGAAGGTAAAGGTCTTACGGCAAGATCTGGTCAGTAATTTTTTTAAAAAAGAGACATATCCAGTTGTCTAAATGGAAACTGATAGAGGAAGAAAGTGCAGTTCATTTATAGGTCGTTAGAAGGGGAACATACCACATTTCACAAGTTCCGACGTCAGAAGTCAGATCAGCAGGTGAGACCTGAGGCAAACATTCTATTTCCTTAACTACCGACTGATTTGTTTGAGCTTGTTATGTGCTCTCTGTAGTAGGGATGGCTCACTTCGAAACTCGGGATCGGTATGGGTCACAAATGGTATGGGTCAAATGGTATGGTATGGGTCACAAATCACAAACGGTAGGCCACACAAAATGACTTTATGGGCCAAATTTGGCCTGCGGGCCTTGAGTTTGACAAATATGCTGTAGGAGATCGTGAAAAAGTTGTATCCAGCCATCCCTACTTTGTAACATGGACCATGCCTGGGTCAAGACCTGCAGAACTAACATGCTAATGCATGACCTGTACGCACATTTCGAATGAGGACGTCAGAGATTCCCAGCTAATGTACCTTTAAGAAAGAGACAGTGGCCGGCTGCTTTTAAATTGACTCCAAAATGGGGAGAATTCTTGCTCCTAAAAGCAGTCTCTCTGTATGACTACCCTCCCGCATCTGATAAGTGGGAACTGAGAGACTTCTCAATGGATGATCTGCTCCGACGAGGGTCAGCCTGCGCTTCGCCACACTCTGTTGACCCTTACTCTGACGACATTTACACTCGCACTTCATTCCTGCAGCAGCAGTTTCTCATTCAGCAGCCGCTTTCATTCAAAGGCCCCGGGGGTCATCAGTCAGCACGCCCGACATATTCCCCGGCAGTTTGCATTCCGAGCTGAAGCAATTTTCTAGTAATTGCTGCCTCACACCTCTGCTCCAGGTCTGTGTAACGCGTGTCCCTTATCTAATCCAAAGGAGAATGAGATCTCCTCCAGTAATAGGCAACACAGAGGTAGTATCTCTGCAATTAACCTCACATGTTAATAAAAGGGATTATAAAAACAACACTACACGCGCGCGTGTGAGTTAAATCTTAATGACAGTATCGGTAATAATTGTTCCCCTTGTGAGGTTAAAGTATTAATCTGCAGTGTTTTCATACGTATTAAATACAATTCATTTTTTTTCAATCGCTCCACTTAGATTATGTCATCTTGTATCAGCTGAATAAAAATCTTGTACCGTATATTCAGGACTATAAGTTGCACCAGCCAAAAAAAAAAAAAAAAAGCATAATGAAGAAGAAGAAGAAAAAAAAACATATATAAGTCGCTCCGGAGTATAATCGCACCAGCCAGTTAGAGTGCCCTCTAGTGGCTGTGAGTGTGAAATTAATGAATATTTAAATCTTCAGTGCCACAGGAGAAGCAAATTTTGTTACATAAGCCTAGAGTGCCCTCTAGTGGATGTCAGTGTGAAAATAAAAACATGTGACATTATACATTTTAATATATAAGATAAAAACATGTGAAATTATACATTTTAATATATAAGTCGCACCCGAGTATAAGTCGCAAACCCAGCTAAAGGATGAAAAACGTATAGTGCGGAAAATACGGTAATCGTAGCATAGCATAGCATAGCATAGCATAAACAAAATATCTGTAAAACTGTCTCCTTTTCTACTTTTGTTAAAAAAAAATAAAATAAAACCAAGTGCGCAAAAACAGCAGAAGATTTGCCAAGAATCCCAACAACGGAAATCTTCCAGATTATAAATGCATAGTAACAAAAAGTAAAAGTACATTTCAGTGCCCCACTGGGACCAACGTGGCCCACCACACTTTCACAGACGTCTGTTGGTGTATCTTGGTGTATGTCAACTTAAGCCTAGTAGCAAACCACACACCCACACATGCAAGTACAGGTTTCTCTTTCTGCTCGCTCCGTTTTTTTCGTTCCATGCCACACGGCACAGATACAAAATGACATTTAGATATAACACTGGCCCCGCTGATTTTCTTAAGGGAATGTTTTTTTTCTTTTTTCAAAGTACGTAAATACATATTGCACCAAACTACGCTCGAAATAAAACAAATATATTCCAATATTGTCTGATGAGGCCAAAGGAACTATGACTCAGCAGCAAGTCTAGCATTTCACCACACGCAATAACCTGGAGGGGGGGGGGCGTAGTGTGCATTTATCAACAATTTAAAAAACAACAATTCATCTTTAACATCATTTAGACAGATATCTATCCATCCATCCATCGTCTATCTATCTATCTATCTACCTACCTACCTACCTATGTGGCTAGCTATCTATCTATCTATCTATCTATCTCTCTATCTATCTATCTATCTATCTATCTATCTATCTATCTATACATCCCTTGGGAGTTCCCTTTGGAACATTAGGAAATTTAACTGAACAAACTCTCACTTTTTTTTCCTGTTTTAAACTTTCTTTTTTTCCTCTTTTGGAGGCCTTCACAGTCTGTCAGCCATGTTGATGTTAACTGCAGTAACTACAGCGCCTGTAGTCCCTCCACAGATGTGGCTCACATGAATGCAACAGGCCATAACCACATGACCAGAGCTGCCCCGAGACCTCAAGTGACTCCGGCTACCTTGGATGACAAAGCTTTGGTCTGACTGGCCTGCACTTTAATAACTTCCTTCCTCATCTGTATTCATTGTGTTGAGTCCTCGGTGCTACGCTGCAGCTATTTTTACCAAAGCTTTTTCCCCTCTGTTATTTGCTCAGCAAACACAGCTAGGGCAGCCCCCTTTTTTTTTTCCATACATTTGTTTGTGCACCTGAATTCCAGACCGGACCGCTAGAGGAAAAAGGAAAGGAATGCCCGCGGAAGCATGAGGTAGCATTTACTCGCCGCAACATTGAGCTCCGTGTTGCTACTGCTCTTCTGTGACCAACACTGTGAACTGTAGCGCTGACAGATCCCGTTGACGTTTATCAACAGCTTGTTGTCGTTACATTTGTGACGTTTATCAACAGCTTGTTGTCGTTAGTCAAATGCCAAAATGTAACTTTGTACGAGTCAATATTGCGCACTGACACACACCAGTCGGCAACACACATACATACTATATATATAAACCCCTCACACAAGAAAATTATGTGTCTTGCAGTTATTTCTGAGTCCGCCTGACAGCTTCCACTGCTGTAAATCAGGCGCACATAATTTATGGAGCCACTGTTCCTTTAGAACCCCATAAATCCAACGGCGATGGGCCGCGCAAGGAAGGTAATAATTACATGTTACCGTTGAGCCTCTTAACCCACAACTGTGCGCATTGTTTCCACACGGGCTAAAAGCTGTCAGCTCCCACCTTACAACCCACTGGTATGATCTGTGAATCAGATGATCACCATGGCAACACCCGTGTTTCTCACTCTCTATCTTTTCTGAGTGCATTTAGAGCAGCTCTGTCTCACCACAAGTAAAAAAAAAATAAAAAAAATCTCTACACGAGTGCTTATCAGATAATAAAGCCTGGGATCGCCACCTGATCTGAGTCCTTAGGTCACATCTAAGGTCACATCTAAGGTCACATCTGAAGGACTCAATTGTCCTTAACAAGTATACAGTGGTACAAAATGAGTTTCATGCTAGGCCAGGTATCTTATTCAGTTCCTTGCTGGATGAGAAAAAAAAAAAAATCAGTGCTGTCTCACTACTGGGTCACGACTCAACGTTTGAAAAACGCAAGGAAACCTTGGAATGGTTGGGATGCAGCAGTGTTACACTGATCCGCAGATGTAGGCAAATAAAACGTATCAATGGTTCTCAGTCTGTTTGTTTGACTGGGTGTGTTTTTTAGTAGGAAAACAATGATATAATTCACTTTGGGTCAATTGTTTTATCTAATAAAAACCATTGTTAGCACAACAGCAGAACCAAAGTGCTTCATCCCAGAGGTCCCCAACATCTTTTTGTACCAAAAAGTCGGTATCAGCCGTTACTGCGGACTAGTAATACCGCACCATTGTTGAAGGATCATTACATTTTTAAACTTTTATCTTTAACTTTTATCTGTTACTATCGGAGCCCAAATGACGTACAGGCCGGCACTGGGCCGCGGACCGGGGTTTCTGTTACTATCGGAGCCCAAATGACCTACAGGCCGGCACTGGGCTGCGGACCGGGGGTTGGGGACCCCTGCTTTATCCTGCTGCCTTTAGCCGGTGTCACTCATTTTTGTATGTTACATACTGTATAAGGATGAACTGGAACTAAAAATCAATTGAGTTTGATATCATCTGGTGCATAGCATTATGTAATTCTACTGTAATCAGCTCTGCAAGGAGTCAGACCTGTGCTCTGTAAAATGATTTTATAGGCATACCCTCAGGTGGGAAATCTGCTCATTTCATGTTATTACACCTGCACTATACGCTCCATCTGTGAATTAGTCCCTCGCTGATCTTTCCCAGATAAACAACAACAGTCGTCTGGTGCGCTACTTGGAGACCGCCCAGATGGATTAGGAGACGACGATTAGGAGGATTGGCTATTCATCCGTCACTGTCAGCACTGTCAACCTGCGCAACAGTTCTGTCATGAGACGGAGCTGAAAACCTCCTTCCTTTATTCACTCGCGATGCACAGCACTGCTGCTGTTGTAACGCAGTGGTTGTTATACAAACTCACTGGGTAGCTGGGTAGTACAGATGATTACTGACAGACATTTTGGAGGGTGACCGGATTACAAACTGACCATTGGGATTTATGGAGCGGGGTATATCCTAGATCAGGGTTGTCAAACATAGGGCCCGCAGGCCGAAATCGGCCCGCTAGGGGGTTCAATCCGGCCGTCTCGATGAATTTTGAAAGTGAAAAAAATAAAAACCACTTCATGTCCATGATGTTTCTTCAAATGGTACTACATTCATGTCTATGATGTTTCTTCAAATGGTACTACATTAAATATGAATATTTTTCAAGATACTTGTACTTCTTTGCATGAAAATAAAGAAGAAAACATGGACTCTCTTGTTTAGAGGTAGACGTGAGAAGGTCTAACCTAAAAGTATAGGTAAACGTGAGAAGGTCTAACCTAAAAGTATACGGATTTCTGCCGACTTTCAGCTAAGGCTACTTAACAAGCGAGACCTAGAAAATGCCATGTCCGAGTGTATTTGGGTTCACATGTTCACACTCGTGGCACAGATCTCCAACAGAGCATCAGGCAGATTAATAATATCAAAGCACATCTGTGCCCTTTGGTGGTGCTGTAAATCTTGTACTGAACACTCCTTTTTCAATTACATGACGATTTAATGACTACTAATGCAGACCCGGAGAGCGGGCCACCGCGATATAATTAGCCATGGTGGAATTGGAGTGTGATGTATCCTCGTGTGTTACATGCACGACACATTGTTTTACACTCACCTCTGGTCCCCGCTCCTGTACATGGCAGGATTCACTGTCTCCCTCTGAGAAAGACCCTGACTCGTCACTAGAGTTGGTGCCGTAGGACTGCTCACATTTGATCTTGGGCTGGACTTGATTAAAAAGGGCATCCCCTCCCACACTTTGCTCCTGCTGGTCCGCATTGAGGCACCGCGCCACGTTGGAACACGGCGAGGAGGAGAATTCGAACTGGGGCAGGCTACAGGGAGAGCCTCCGCTGCCGTCCTCTGCGTACGAGTACGAGGAACAGGAACTGGAAGTCCTGGTGCGTGTCTCACAAGGTGGCGAGCGTGGGCACACTTTGATTGGCACTGGGCAGCTGGTGTTGGGCCTTGGGCGGCATAGAATTGGAGGTTCGGTGGAGGTGGTGCTAGGGGAATAGTTCTGGGAGGTGGGGAGAGACTGGCTGGCTCCAGCCCACAGGCTCGTTGGCATGTGCTCAGAGAGCTCCATCTCCAAAGAGTTGCCACCAGGGTAAGAGTGAGCCGGGGTTCCCAGACGGTTGCAGGCCCCTGAGGAAAAAATGACACTGCGACGATCAAGCTCAACTTCCTGTTTGCAGACCCCATCACAGGAAGCGGACTTGAGGGACAACCCTGCGGGGTAACCGTCCAAGTCCTTTGGGGATGTAATAGACAGACCCAGCTCCCCAGGGAAAGGTCTGAAGTCTTTTTTATGATCTCCCTGAGAGGTTCCTTTTTCCTGGGGGCAAACGAGTCTGTTGGCTAATAGCTGCTGTGACGTGTTGGGCAGGCTGGGGAGCTCTATACCTTTTTTGAAGAGGACACGGAGGCAAGAAGGAGACTTGGTTCTCTTGGTTCTTTCCAGAGATATTGGGTTATCCATCTCCATAGCTGTCACACTGTCCTTATCCCTGACATCTTGCTCATCTCCTGACAGGCACAAAGAAATGGCTTCTTCCTCTGCCTGCGGTTCGACTTTGATCTGTGCCAAAGGCAGCCTGCCCTGACCCGGCACTGCCCCGCTAATGCTGCTCTCCTTTAATGTGCTTGGAAAACCTGAGGTACTGGTGTGTGAGGAGGTGTCATTATTGTGCTTGTTGCAAGCCCACTGGTATTTCCTGTACTTGGGGCACCGAGGCAGATCTGACACTCCGTGCCCGTCGAACTCCAGTCTGCCATCCGTGAAGTTACTTACTGGCCCGTCGTTGCAGGGGCGCCGGATAGAGGTAAGGGCATCGGCACATCGCCGCGCCCTGGGGGAAATTGGCTTTTCTGCCTCCGACTGCATATTCTCTTCTTCCGAGTTATTTGCCTCTGCAGCCACCTTGTGGTAGGACAACAATCCATCGTCCTCGCTGCGCAGCTGTGCCTCCAGAAAGCGAAAGCATGAGTCCTCGAGGTTGTGCATGCGCAGGAATTCAGCACAGCGTATGACCTCCTGGATGTTTTCTCTGCTGAGTAACAGCTTAGCAGTGTAGGCAAATTGCAACAATGGGGCAAATCCCCTGGCAGTGACCTGCAGAAAAAAAAGAGGGAAATTGCCAGCATTATCATCAGCACAGACATTGTTCAGAACATTCGGAGTGTGGTGAGATAACCCGACAGCTCCGGCGAACATAAACAAACACCACGAGTACCTGTTAATCCCCCTTATCGGGTCAGCGTAGAACGTTTTACAGTGTACAGCAGTAAACAAAAACCAGCGATGTGGGTATGTTAGCGGCTCACGTGCCAGTCCTACGGTTTAATGTAAACCGCTCACAGAGTGTGTTTAATTTATTTGATTGAGGGAAACATATCAAAGCAATTGGTTGGTTTTGCGATTTCCTCTGAGGACGTAGCTCTTATGTTCATGTTTACACAAATCTCTTTGTCTCTCTTTGTGTTTGTGTTGCACACCCTTAAAAGCAAGGACCGCATTACTGTACGGTAACATCTTTAATAACGCTTGTACTCTAAATATATAAATGACACATACAATGACAAACCTCAAGTTATTTTAGTGTTCACAAATCTCATGAAAGTGAGAGCTACTTCAAGGGTACTGAGTAATACGAAGAGCTACTTGTTTGATACAGATTTATAAGAATCAGTTCTGGGACATACGATAGCGGACACTCTTCTTACCATCCTCATTGCACCCATTTGAATATCATTGCAAGTGAATTCAAAAAGCACAGTAAGAGTACCATTTTTGACCCTCTTGTTGACTAGTATTACTTTTAGATCATACCCCACAGGTACCTTAAGTAGTCCACGGGGGCTAGTAGGTGGCCCCGGGCACCACATTGGCGACCCCTGCCCTACAGAGTGCATAGACACAGGGCAGACAAGAAGGTTGTAACATAGGTTTAAAATCAAATTCTTGTTTGATTCCTCAATCATTTACCTCAAAAAAAAAAACATCCCAGATATTTACCCCATGCTGTTTAACCCCGAGCCACGACAAAAACGAAAACGTCTTGACTTTCTAACGTGGCGTACCCTAGCCAATATTTGCCTCGATTTTTGTGTCAGTGCCCCGTGTCCTCGGGTCAAGTGCCTGTAAAGCCCTAATGGTTTGTAAGACTGCAGCTTATCCCTGTTGTGGCCATGTGGCACAGGATGATAGAGGGAAGCCTTCCATTTAGACTTAATGCCAGATAATTAGGTAAACTCCTGAGGCTGCAGAAGTCCAGACCTCCCTCTGCCACTCTTCTCACTAAGCACACAGACAAGAGAAAGGGAACCGCAGGAGTTGGCTGTAATTCGAAGCCCCTCTGCCGTCTAGAGAGATCAACATGAGGTTCACGCCGGGTTGCGTTCGTCAACCTTTTACTCCAGGGCCCGAACCCTGCAACCCGTTTTTCATTTCTAACAATGAAAAAAAAAAAACGTTACGATAAAGGACACTTAACACCGCTAAACCACACACAGTTATGACAGATAATGGCTGAACTTTTTCACTATAAAGCAATTTATATAGAGGTAGAATGACATAAAAGATTTTTTTTTTAACAAAACCAAGACTTACAAGGAAAAGAGATAAGCCCTTATTAGTGGTTTTTACGAGAACAGTGTTTAATGACTAGGGCCACACAGTGGTAAAGCGGTTTCCGGATGAGAGAAGATCATCAGTTGAAGCCTGCGTTGAAGTGTGGCATGTTCTCCCTTTGTGTAGAAGGGTTTTATTCAGGTGCACTGGTTTCCCTCCCACAGTTTAAAAAGCTACAGGTAAAGGATGCGGACACTCCAAATTGACTGTCGGTAGGGATGTAAGTGGAAATAGTAGTGCGCGGCTACATGTCAGGTGTATTTCTGTAGTCAGGGTATACCCAGCACTTGGCTAAGTACTGCTGGAATTGACTCTCCCCAGCTACACTGAATAGGATTAAGTGACAGAGAATGGATGGATGGATATTTACTGATTGTTCTGTTGTCTTCGCTAAGGGAACGGAGAAGATATATTACCCAGACTGAAATGCACCACAAGTTGCTAGAGTGCTCCTGCATTCTCTGCCAGACGGGAACAAAACAACAACAACAACAACAAAAAAAAAAACAAGTCGTTCCCTTAAAAACCATCACGTTTGGGTCTTTATACGTAGATAAACACATAAATGAAGCAGAATACAGACCTAAATAATAATAATGGCTGGAGGGCATCTGTGTAGCAAAAGGAAGGAACTGAGCAGATATACTATAAAAAAAACAACAAAAAATGCACTAGAGAAAAAAACCCAATTATTTTCACCTTATTGATTTCTCTATATTTATATTATTTATATTTACATTATCGAGAAATATATTTATATTTGGTGAAATAAAAAAAAAAACAAGCTAAAAACGAAGTAAAATATGTATCAATACGAATCGGGGGAAGGAATGAAACATGAATTTCTTTAGGGATTGTGAAGTGAAAGGCAATACAGTACACTGTATGTTACCAAAGTAAAACGTTTTTTTTATAGAGTAGGATGATGAGAACAGCCAGTTCCCCTTGGTTAAAACTTATTCACTTCAGTTTCAGGAACTTAGCAGACCTTGTTGGTGAGTTTTTACATTAATACCGAACAGGTCTCTGCAAGCTGGAGTACTTTAGCGCTTATTCTTCAGAGCGCAGGGTTTCGTTTAGGTCTAAAATATTTGCAATCATGTGTCATTTACCCGTGCTTGTCTTAACGTGTAAAGTCAAATAATCATTTGTTTTATCGTGGCAGGTTACGTCAGACTGTGGCGATAATTCAGTTCATAACAAGATTAAACAACAGCAAAAAAAAAAAAAAAAAAAAAAGACAGATTAACATGTGTAAATTGGTTTCAGTGTTACTGTGAGCGATGTGTACATGCAGTATTACTCACTTAACGCCAGATTTCAACAACACTGAAACAAAAAGGAAGAGGCGTAGTTCTCTCTCTCATATCACTAAATTTTACAGTATACAGTGAGCCCTCTCCTATCAGGGTAGTTACGTTCCAAGACCCAGTGCGACATGGGGAAAAATTGCAAAGTAGAGGCAAGCTAGTTATTATATTATTTACATATATATTTACCCTTTACGAACTTTTATCAACCCTCCCTAGACTGCATTACTCTTCTCCACACAATTAAAGTATATCCACAGTAGAGTTGTAGAATGGCGACGCAGAGTGAAGTGAACGAGAGAGTGGTCGACAGACAAGGGGAGATGCTGAGAGATGCTAGCATGCATGAGCCAATCAGCGTGAGGAACAGAAGAGCATGATCAATTAGCCAAATAGCCAAGAGTACACCGAGTACACGTTGCATTAGCCAGTAGTGTGCTGTGTACGATATTGTCCAGGTAAACAAAGCAACTAGCGATTGTTTGCAAATGCGCTTATCTCAATTTTAAAACGAGAATCCGCATTTTTAAGGCCAACATTTTTGTATCTTTTCTGTTAGTTTTTTTTTGCTATATTTCGGGATATAGCGACAATTTCACGAGATCGGATTTAAAAAAAAATCTGCGATGTACTGAGGGAGCGTAAGGAGAACCGCGATATAGAGAGGGAACCATAGGGAATCGTAGCGTAATTGATCATCTACAGGACATATGGTATCTTGGCAATCCAGGCTTTTAAGATTCATTTTAACCTTTGTAGATGTTAAAACCCTTTATTATGAATGTCACACATGAGGCTACAAGACAGTTTTTTTTTTTCAAATCAGTACAATGATTTTCAATATATTTTTCTATCTGTATAGCATATTCGAAAGGTTGAACGTCTGCCCTCACAGGCTGAAGTCTCCCAGTGTGGGTTCTATCTTAAGCACAGCGCGAGCTGTAGCTAATAAACACTCCATGTATCAATCATTGTGAAAAATATGGTGCCGGCTACATATTTCAAGATGGAAATTCTGTATATGTGTGCACCTGCCAGCGCTTGAGTAGACACATCTGTATGTGTGTGTGTGTGTGTGTGTGTGTGTGTGGTGGATATGTGCTTTGTGTGATGTATTTGGGGGGAGGGTAGAGGCTTTGACCGGCTGCTCTACTGATGAGCACAGCACATCTACTACACCACTGCAGCAGCACATTTCTGTACACGTTGCAGTAATGAATTCCTTGAATCAGAATCAGTTTTTTTTTTTTTTGCGAAACTGAACAATGCTTTGCTGTTTCGTGTTATTTCATTACGATTCTGTTTCTGCATGAATCGGATGTCAACGGTGAATAGTGTTTTTTTTTTGCGTCCGCACGAAGGGGCGTGTCTGCGATTGGATTTTTAAAATATTATTACTACCGAATATCCATCAGTAAAGCCATCAGTAAAAACCCTATTATATTACTACTATTATATTACTTCGTTAATATGTAGCATAAATCAATTAATATGGTGTTATCTTTATTACGGGTCACAAATAATGTCAAGACGCATTTACGTAAAGAGGTTAGGTGTCAATCATGAGTTAAATACATTTAAAAAGAACAATTACGTTTGTTTATTGCAATTCCATTCACAGCAATAGATAAGGAGGAACAATAGGCCAATCGTTGAGCAACTGTGGTGCAATAAAAACCTGGCAACTTTACAGTACCGGTGACAATAATCAACACTGTCGCCTTTAATTAGCTCTTATTGATTGGTTGTGTGGTTCTTTACAGTCTATTTTCCTCTAAATGGAATTATAAAAAAAAAAAATTACAAAATTTTAAAGGACATTACAAATGGAGTGAGATGTGACCTAAATGGAGATGTTTTTTGGAAATTGATTATTTACAGTCTGCGGGATACTCAGGTTCATTCATGTTTTGCGATTAGCGTTGATAATTTAATTAGCATCCATTCAATTCCATTGATAATACCGCACACAGATCTCAAAAAAGTGCCACTGGCCACACACGTGCAACAAACGCTGACGCACAAATTCGCCCCTGCGGGCAGTAGTAGCTTATAAGTCCGGCTTCATCCAAGGGCCGCTGATAAACAGCTACGCTGCTGGAGGAAAAAGTGCTGAGCATACCAGGGATCTATTTTCAGCTAGTATCAGCAGCTGCTGCCTAGCGGGAGCAC